GTTGTACTAGAAGTGACCAGATGATTCTGCAGCAAAAAATAACTTTATTTCTTTGGAAAGCTTTAAAGATATCCACAATCTCCTGGATTTGATGAACCAAATCATATCAGAAGTGCTGGAAATTTTTCTGAAGATTTTTCAAGAATTTCTGGAATAAAAGAAGACTTTTTGGTGAATTTTGAAAATGTGGAGAATGTTATTACAAAATCTAAATTACCAAAATTTGATGTATCCTATGATGAATTAATTTGTACCAGAACTATGAGAGATTCTTCTGCAACAAAAGAAAACCTTCTTTCTTTAGAAAATTTTGGAGAAATCCACAAATCTTTAGGAATTTCTGAGCCAAGTTGTACCAGAAGTGAACCAGATTTTTCTGCAAGAAAAAATAACTTAGTTTTTCTGGAAAACTTTGAAGAAATCGACAAGTCTTCTAGAATTGATGATTCGAATTGTACCAGAAGTACCAAAAAATTTTCTGAAGATTTTTCAAGAATTTCTGGAACAAAAGATAACTTTTTGCTGAACTATGAAAATGATAAGGATGGTATAGAAAAATCTAAATTACCAATATTAGATATATCTTCTGATGACTTAATTTGTACCAAAATTACTAAAAATTCTTCTGCGACTTTGCCAACATTTTCTGCAACGAAAGAAAACCCTCTTTCTTTAGAAAACTTTGAAAAAATCCACAAGTTTTCTGGAATTTCTGATTCTAGTTGTACCAGAAGTGAACCAGATGTTTTTGCTACTAAAAAGAACTTTGTTTCTTTGGAAAACTTTGAAGATATCCACAAATCTTTAGGAATTGATAAGCCAAATTGTACCAGAAATACTGGAAATTTTTCTGAAGATTTTTCAACATTTCCAGCAGCAAAAGAGGACTTTTTGGCTTGGTTTTTGGTGGATGATGAAAATGATAAGGATGATATTGAAAAATCCAAATTATTACAATCTGATGTATGTTCTGATGAATTAATTTGTACCAGAACCACCAAAGATTCTTCTGCTATTTTGCCAACATTTTCTTCACCAAAAGAAAACCTTCTTTCTTTGGAAAACTTTGAAGAAATCCACAAATCTTCTGGAATTTATAAATCAAGTTGTATCGAAAATACTAAAGATTCTTCTGCAACAAAAGAGGACTTCTTAGTAAATGATGAAGTTAAAAAATCAAAATTATCACATTCTAATGTATCCTCTGATGAAATAATTTGTAACAGAACTATGAGTGATTCTTCTGCAACAAAAGAAAATCTTCTTTCTTTGGAAAACTTTGAAGAAATCCACAAATCTTCTGGAATTTCTGAGCCAAATTGTACCAGAAATACTAAAGATTTTTGTGCAACAAAAGAGGACTTTTTAGTAAATGATGAAGTTATAAAATCAAAATTATCACAATCTGATGTATCCTCTGATCAATTAATTTGTACCAGAACTATGAGAGATTCTTCTGCAACTTTTTCAACAATTTCTGAAACAAAACCTGATTTTCTGGTAAATGATAAAGATAAGAATGATGATGATGAAAAATCTAGGATTTTGCTTGAAAAATGTCATCAAGTTGTCGAAAGTTTAGATAAAATTATTGACACCATAGATATTTTTGTGCATGAATAAAATAAACCTAGAAACTACAATTATGCATTTTATTTTATTTTTAAATATAGAAATATTTAAAAAAAATTAATAAAATGGCGAAGGACCTTATGCAAAACCAGATTTATCTTATTTACAAGTTTACAAGATATTGAAATAAAATTTAAAAATAATAAATAAATAAGTTGCAGTTTTATCAAATGTTCATGGCAGATGTCAAATTAGAATCCTCTGAAACAAACTAAAAAATTAAAACTCGATAAATTTTAACCAAATAATATGCAAGTTTTATTTTATTTATACAACATTTAATATAATTTATTACATGATTTAATTAAATATTTTATTATCGTTTAGTAAATTTTTGATAAAATATGTTACGTATTTTGTATTAAAAATACAATTGTAAAGAGATTTTTTTAACAAATAATGTCCCACAACAAAAAATAATTTCATATATATATATAAGTCTATGTTAATATATTATCAATTTGCTATAATTATTTTACAACTAAATAAATTAATACGAAATAAATACTTTCATGTATATTTTAACATTTAATAAATATTTATTAAAATATATTCATTTATTAAATATTTATTAAAAAAAAACTCTTTACAATTGTATTTTTTAATATAAAATACGTATATTAATATATTAAATTTGCTAAACGATAATAAAATATTTAATTAAATTACATTAAATGTTGTATGTAATAAAACTTGCATATTATTTTATTAAAATTTATCATTTTTTAATTTGTTTTGGTAGATTCTAATTAGAATCAATGAATATTTGATAAAACTGCAACTTATTCATTTATTTATTTATTATTTAATTTAAAATTAAAATATCATATTCAATTTTAAATAATTAAATATGAAATAAATATTATAAAACATAAATTATGCTGGAAATAAATAATAAAAACAGTAGCTTAACAAGAGATTGTAATAATAAATATAATAAATAAAAATAATTTTAAATATTAATAAATAAATAAATAAAAATATTTCAACAAGTTTCATCAAGCCTTTTGTCTTAGTTATTAGATTCTAAATAGATTCTACAAAAACGAGCTGGAAATCTAAAAATTCTACAATAAGGACAATCTACAATACTTCAAAATAATTTGCAAAATTTTCAGATAATAATCATATTAATTTTATTTAATTTATTATTCGTCGAGCCTTTTGTTGGAAGTCGCTTTAGAAGTTTTACTTCAAAATTTATGTAAAAATTTCAATGTAAAAATGAAAAAAGCCTAAAATAGCATTTATTATTACTTATTACGACTTACTTATGAATAATTAAATGAATAAAATACTTGAAAATTGATTGATATAATATGAAATAATTGTTTTGATTATCAATAAATAAATGCATATTATTTAATGTTTACGGTATATTTCATACTATTTATACATTCTATTATAAGTAAGAATATTTTATAACATGTTTACAAATATTTAAATTCAATTTAACAGATATTTTACTGATTTTTAACACGCTTTCTATTATGACGTGCCATGTGTCTCTTCAAATCGATTGATTGTGTAAATGCTTTACTGCATATTTCACATTTGTAAGGACGCTCTCCTGTATGAATCAGCATGTGATTTTTCAGATTACTCGGATTTCTGAATGTCTTGTTACAAATAGTGCATTTGTGGGGCCGCTCATCACTGTGAATGAGCATGTGTTGTTTCAGATTATTTGATTGTGTGAACGCCTTATTGCATACATTGCATTCATGAGGACGTACTTTATTGTGTACCAGCATGTGACTTTTCAGACTACTTGAATATGTGAATGTCTTATTGCATATTACACATTTATGAGGTTGCTCACTGCTATGAATCATCATGTGTCTCTTCAGATAATTTGAGCTTGCGAATGTCTTATTGCATATACTGCATTCATAGGGCCGCTCATCACTGTGACTAACCATGTGTTGTTTCAGACTAGCTGATTGTTTAAATGTCATCTTGCATATACTGCACCCATGAGGTCGTTCACTACTGTGAACGAGCATGTGACCTTTCAGATGACTTGTAGTTATGAACGTCTTATTGCATGCATTGCACTTATGGGGACGCTCACCAATATGAATGAGCATGTGAGTTGTCAGATTACATTTTAGTGTGAACGTCTTCTTGCATATACTGCACTCATAGGGACGCTCACCAATATGAATGAACAAGTGACTTTTCAGTTGGCTTACATGAAGGAATCGCTTATTGCATGCATTGCACTTATGTGGACGCTCACCAGTGTGAATGGTCATGTGATTTTTCAAAACAAGTGTATCTTTGAAAGTCTTTTGACAGATTTCACATTCGTAAGGACGTTCTTCACTATAGCTAGGCTTGTGGTCGACCATGTGTTTTGTTAGATGATGGGAATCTGTAAACGATTGATTGCAAATGTCGCAATCAAAAGACTCCTGTTTGACTTCATCTTCAATTGTCACCTCGGAATTCATGAATCTTTCTAAACATGCATCATTATCCTCAGAACACGATTCAGATTTAACAATAGCATCAAATTCATCATCATTTTCGCTTTTAATGTCTTCTGCTGAATATTCTGGTGGTTCAATTTTAATTACCTGATCATTTATAGACGTAATTGTTTCGTTTGACATTTTGTAATATTTTCAATGCTTATACTCAATAAATATTTACAAAATTATTCTTACGAAATAATAATCTAATTTAATCAACAATCCTTTAAAATATTACAAATGATTTCAACTAAAATTTAAATCATTATTTGACATATGAAGCATAGAGCAATGCTTTTAGAAAGATGAGACATTTACCAAAGCGCGTTGATATTTAACAAGTGGCGCCCTTTTTCAAATGCATTATGATTCTCTATGTCTGAACTAGCAACAAACGTCTTCATTATTAATTTCAAAATGATTATTACCTAGACAATAAATTAATATTAAATGATTTAGAAGAGAATTTATTAATTCCATGTCCTACATAAGATATTAGCTTTGTTTGTTTATTTCTAACCTAAATCATGTTCAAGAGCTGAAGATGGAACGTACATAGATCCGAAACGTCGACAATAAATAATAATTTTTTGAAAAACTTTTTGGTTTTTTCTTACTATTGGATTCCTTGTTTGAAACTCAACACATATATACAGATCAAAGAGTTAGGACATTTTTACTAGCTAATTAATTTAAAATTGGTTCAGTAGTTTAAGAGCACATTTTGTATAACTACGTGACACACACACACATATATACTAGCAAACCCGACGAACTCCGTTTTGCCACCAGATGGTTTCCTGAGAAAGATGAAGAAATTTTTTGTTTGTTTTATATTTTAAAAGGAAAAATTTGATTTTATTATACAACAGTAATGAATTTATTTCGATTGCAAAAATGAAGTGTTTTTTAGTTGAACTTTTCTAAGTAAATGAAAGTGAATCCGCAAATTATCCGTTTTATTGAAGTGCTCTTTGGTAAACCACATTTTTTGTTTTTTGGTCTGACGTTAACACAAACAAAGCGGATGGTTTTCCAACTCGTGAACAGGCAACGTATAACTGCCCATGTGAAAAACAATGATTTTCTATATAATCTATTTGAAATTTATCCCGCAAACACTAAGCGTTTGGCCTTGCGACTTGTTATTGCGAACGCAAGGCGAACTGGAAATTGCAATCGTTTGAAGTCAAACCGAAGACCAGTCGGAATCATTGGTATGTCACCAAATCGCCAGCAATTTTTGATTGAATGGTGAAATTCAGTGCGTGTACATCGCGGCAAGAATTGCTCGTTGACTTTAATTGCAAGCATAATTGTGATAATTCTCACTAATGTCATTACTCGATTTTTTAATTACGGTGCGTGAAGTTCCAGCAATTTGCATTAAAGCACGATGCCATGCACCACTAATTTTCTTAGCTATAAACCTTGTGGAGCCCGAGACTTTTCCAACGAATGCAAAATTGTCGAAATCGGTTCATGCGTTCTGGAGTTATTTCGTCAGAAAGGAAAACCCGACTTATTTTTATATATATAGATTTTTTTTATTATAATTTACAGATATTTTAATATTTATTAATAATTATTAACAGTTAATTTTAAATAATTAAATATGAAATAAATATTATAAAACATAAATGATGAGAAACTCGATTTGATTCCTTCGAATTCTTAATAGTATTATCGATCCAAGCACGATACTGAAATAAATAAATATTGTTAATAAAAATATAATTATGAATGAATTATTTATATATATATATATATATATATATATATATATTAGAACAAAAGTATTTAAAATTATTTAATAGAATAATAATATTAGAAATTAGAACAAAAATATTTAAAATTATTAAAAAGAATTAATTATTATACATACATCATTTGCAAAATAGTAGAAATTATATTATTCATCATTTTTATTTATTTCTAAATTGAAAATAAAATTATATAACATTATTAATATTATATTAGATTATCAAAACGTTAAAAAATTACGTATATTTTTTATATAATCATTAGCATTTTATCGTAATATTTATTATACACATTTATTAACATTTGTTTTTGTCTTCTTTTTATGATTTAAATTTTCTAATATTATTTAAATCATATTTCGATGTTAAAAAGCACAAGAAATCCTTAATAGAAAAAAATATAATGTTAACTTCGTTTGTCTCTATTAACATACCAAATTTCTAATTACTCGTTTATTGTCTCTAATGACACTCTCTACAATATTCATCCCTGCTATTTTGTTATTATTCATATGTCAAAGCCATCTATATATTGCTAACAATAATAATGATAATATTATTTTGGTTAATAAAAGGTATTTTATTTATATGTTAAATTAATGTTTTTAATAATTTGTTTCGCTTATTTCCCGTAGGGTAAGTTATTGTAATGGGCCGAAAATCGGAATTGAAAATTTTTACATTTCTCGACGTTTTGAAGGTTTCTGAACGTTTTGGCATACCTCAGAAAAAATGGATGTGTGTGTGTGTGTGTGTGTGTGTGTGTGTATGTATGTGTGGATACAAATTTTCGCCCCCGTTTTCGAGCGTACGGATCAACCGAATTGAATGGTTCAAAAAACATTCGATTCCTATTGATAGGGAAAAGAGCTGATTAGTTTTTGGCAAAGGCAGGTCCAGCCGTTTCGGAGATACGGAGCAAAGAGTGCAGAAAATAGAAATCTAATTTTTGAGAGAACGGAGTATCCGATTTGAATGATCTAAAAAACATTCAATTAGTAATGATTGGGAGAAGTGTTTATTAGTTTTTGGCAAAGGCGGGCCCAGCCATTTCGGAGATACGGAGCTAAATATGTAAAAAATGGCAGTTTTTGAGAGAACTAACCGTCCGATTTAAATGATTCAAAAAACTTTCTGCTTGTCTTAACAAAATAATTGATTTTGGAAAAAAAATTTTTGTTCGATTTTTTTTTTTTTTTTTTTTTAGTTTTTTGTTGAAACAAATAATTTCAACTTTGCAATTCAGTTTATATAATTCTTATAAATATTAGACAATGTTACAATATTTATAATAATCTATTTGAAAACATTCAGTATTCCTCGAACATTTTGTTACGGTACGGGAAGTTCCAGCAATTTGCCTTAAGGCACGATGCCACCCACCCCACTAGTTTTAATTTTAATTTAATTTAAATTTTTTAACACGTTCACGGACAGAAGTAATTTCAACAATATACCAAAATTGACAGTAATATCTTAAATTAGTTGTAATATCCTAAATTTGGTTAAAGGGTAGTCAGATTATCATTAGATGAATGCTATAGCTATATATTTATTATACAAATTACCTTTTATTATTCTTTGTTTTTGTCTTATTTTTTACGATTTAAATTTTCTAATATTATCAATATTATAATTATTAATTAATACAATTTTTGGTACCAAAGATACAAAAAGTCTATAAGATACAAATTAAAAAAGATATTATTAATAAGAGTCTATTTGGGACCATCATTGGTAATTTCTATCTTGAACAATTATTTTCAAGGTTTTGACTTAGTTAATTTGACTTGACTTATTTAATTTTAATTGATTTAAATAATACTAATTTGCATTATACAAATTTGCTAGACATGATCTTATAATATTTATAAATTTTTAACTTCCCGTGTGGCAAATTATAGTAATCGCAAAAAAATCGAAAAAATGAAAATTTTTATATATCTTTACGTTTCAAAGGTTTTTGAACATTTTGGGATACCTTAGAAACAATGGATGTATGTGTGTGTGTGTGTGTATGTGTGTGTGTGTATGTGTGTGTATGTATGTACGTGTGTGTATGTATGTGCGGATACAAATTTTCGTCGATGATTTCGGGAACACGGATCAACCGATTTGAATAATTCAAAAAACATTCGATTCGTATTGATAAGGAGACGTGCTGATTAGTTTTTGGCGAAGGCAGGTCTAGCCGTTCCGAAGATACGGGGCAAAAAGTGCCGAAAACGGTAACTCAGTTTTTAAGAGAACGGATCGTCCGATTTAAATAATTCAAAAAGCATTTCACTTGTATTGACACGATGAAGAATCGATAAATTTTTATAAAGGTAGGTCTAGCGGTTTCGGAGATATGGAGGAAAAAGTAAAAACATTAGCCATTTGGCGGTCAAAAATGATAATTAGACATATGCACATCAAATTATCAGATATTTTATAGAGATTTTAACAATAAGTATACATTTTGTTAACATTCCTATGGGTTCCGTACCAATTCTTATGCGTTAGACAGCGACGCGGCGCTTACGCGCTTTATATTTTGTCCCTATGCAGTTAAATCAGTACGATTGCTTTGAAAAAAAAGTTCAGATCTTCCACAATATGTCAAAATAAAGAAATTTTTTTTTTAAAAATTTTTTTTTTTCAAAAAAAAGTAATTTTTTGTCCATATATATAGTTTTTCAAAAATCTTATTTTTTCGAAGTAATTTTTTTTCAAAAATGTTAATCGTTTTTAAAAAAAAATAATAATTTTTGGTACGGGAAGTTCCAGCAATTTGCCTCAAGGCACGATGCCTTAATTGCCTTAAGACAGAATTCCACTTACAGCTAGTTTATTTTTTAAACGAATTGACTGCTAATATTTGCCAAAATATGGGACGTCTAAGTACATTTATTTACGTTTTCTGTTGATGACTTCTTTAGCAATCGTCAATATGTTTTATGAATAATATTGTATATATATACATATACATATATATATATATATATATACATATATATATAAATAAATAATTAAATAGATATTTACATAATCAACTCTAGTATTTACTGCTGGTGTATTAACCCTTGCACATCCCTCTCCATATGAAACAATTCCTTGCAAAGTCGGGACGCCATTTACATTGAAAAACAAAGGACCACCGGAATCACCCTGAAAATAATTTATGAAAAAAATTATATATATATATATATGTGATATTGAAAAATAATACATTAAAATTACAAAATTGTAAAACAAGCAGATGTATTTTAAAAAATATTAAAACTTTCTTAGTTTCTTTAATTAATGTTACATATTAATGTCATTGTAAATATCTGGAAAATTTGTTAGAAGACTCTTTTATTTTAGTATTTTCTGTCATAATAGACATATTGAGGAATAATATATTAAAATTACAATATTCTGGAACAAGCAGAACTATTTTTAAAAATTCAAAACATTCTGCTGCATACATCA